TTTGACCTGGCTTCGGGTGGCAGCCAGTGTGGGGGCCCAAGGTGTTCTTAGTACTCTGGAAGCTATTCAGGGAAACTGAGCAAATTTAACAAAAGTATTGGGCTTGAAATAAGCTGAATTACACAGCTCTAATTGAAAATGGATGACCTGTTTCTGGGAGTTTGTCATGATAATGACCTTTTGAAAGCTTGTTCAAACTGTTTTCATTGCACTCAGACAGGAATGTTGTGTTCTTTGCCCAATCCCTTAAAACCTTTGTTTTAGCTACTGGCAGCTTTAATTATTTGGAGGTGAGGGTCTGAAGAGATAAATTAGAAATGAAATCAGGGATGGACCTGAGCCAAAACCTTAATTCTGAACATCCTGAACTTCAGGAAGTGAGGTTTGGAATCCAGCTTACTTCTACAAATGGCTCCTATCTCTATTAGGATCTGAATAAAACCCCAGAGTTGAGTATCCTTTAAGCTTCAGAGTAGCAGCCGTGTTAGTCTGTATCCGCAAAAAGAACAGGAGTACTTGTGGCACCTTGGAGACTAACAAATTTATTAGAGCATAAGCTTTCGTGGACTACAGTGTGCCTGTGTCTGTGTCCAAAATCCTGCAGAGGAACATTGGTGATCTCCGAGAAGGGTTCTGAATCCTGCTTTAAACTCCGGGGTGCAGGCTGGTCTCTAATAAAAATGGCCCAGCCGCTCAACTGTGTTCAGTCAAATGTCAATTTTCTTCAAGCAGTTCAGATTATAGGTCCAGCAGATACTGTAATAACACTGACCCATTGGTTAGGCTGCCCAGCCCAAGTTAGGGCATTTCTAAAGCCTGATCTACACACTTTTTTGGTTAGGGGGGTGACTTTTTTTTTTAAATAGAGAAATAGTTAATTTTCTACAACTCCTAATGTGAGCGCAGTTATACTGATATAAAAGTTCTTATATGTGTATAGCTTATTCCTGTAGAAAGATGCCTGTCAGCTGGATATCTAAATGCTGTACAATTAAGTATCTGTCTATAGAACAAAAATGCTGCAGTTTCTCTCTGCTCCCTAATGACCAAGGGTCTGTGGATGTAACTTTGTTGTAGGTGCCTTCCTCGAGGAAGGCTTTCTTGAAAAGGCCTGTTTCGACTTAACACACTAGCTAAACACAATATTGTGGGTGTTGCAAAATATAGGAGCATGTTGTTGAGTTCATGTTTTATATAACTATACACAAATCCCTGATTTAATGGATTGTGGCTTCAGACCTAAACCTATTCTTAAACTATCACCCCTGACTTAACATTTCAGTAGCTAAAAGATGCTACTAAACGATGATGACAAAAAGATTAAGGTAACATTATAGATCTCATTTTAAAACTACACTAGCCTACAGGAAATTCGGCTTTAAGGCTGGAAACCCCACCATTAATTAAGGCCTTGTCTGCACTACAGAGGGGTGGCGTGAAGGGGAAATGGAGAAGTCTTGGAAAGGACTGTGTGGGCAGAGTTTGGGGGGGCATGGAAAAGAGTTCTGAATGTGCTGCAGGAGAAGGCATGCATGCATCTGCTCAGTTCTGCACCATTATTAAGGACTTCAGCATCTGTGTTTGCTCCTCCATGACTTTAATCATCTGCTCAGCAGCATCCTTAACAAACTCCTGATTTTCTTTTCTGTCCTGCCTTTTCTTCCCTTCACTCCTTGAGTTCCCTTTTCTCTGCATTGGAGAAGTGCAGTACCTCCCAGAACATGTCTTCTTTGCTCTGTCTTCGGTGCTTTCTTATCTGGCGGAGACGCTTGGCCAGTTTGTGTGGGGGTATTCCTCAAGGCCACATCAGCCGAAGCACAAGGAACAAAGCACGGAAGCATGATTGTTAAGTTCACGCATAGTATTGAAACATTTCAGTGCAACACACCTCTGGTAACGTAATGATCACTTTCTCACCGACCCTTGGGAAGCACACATCTCTGCGAACACCCAAAGCATGGTGAGTGTTGGCAGAGGGCTCTACATGGGGAAAAGAGCACTCTTCAAGGATTGCGGTGCAGCCGACTAGGGGAAAAATTCTAAAATTCTCCCGCACTTTTCACAGACGGGGGTCGTAGCAGATATCTCACTACTGAGGCTAAGCAGGTACATCTTTTACACGCTTGTGGCTTCCACCCTGGTCCGGATGCTGCTCGCCTGTGTGCCGGTTTAGTCTCTGCACAAGTGATTGCCAAATGGCATGGGAAAGTTTTCTACAATGGGGGAAGGAACAAATCAGCTCTGCCAAGGAACCTTTGGCAGAGGCTTGCCGAGTACCTCCAGGAAACTTTCCTGGAAATCTCTCTGGAGGATTCCCGGGAGATCTCGGTGTGCATCAACACCTTGTTCCGCCATACCGATTAGCTGCACAGGGAAATGTCCAGCTCACAGAAACACGGCCAGCCTCCCACATTTCTATACCCTGAATCTACCTCCACACTAAACAATCCACAGCCACTTACCAGGTTTCTCGTCTTCTGCTTCTCGCTCCCCGGAGAGCGACTGCTGCGACTGGCTACACACCTCTGGAGTGAAGAATAGTTCCTGGCTGCCTGCCCCACCGGGCGACCCCACTGGGAGCACTACATAATTGTCTAACTCCACCTCTTCTTCAGTGACTTTGTCCTCAGGGTTAGGTTCTTTTTCCGCTGCCTCCAGGCCTGCTGAAGTATCCACAGGGCTCTTGGCGGTGAAGGTGGGGTCGCCACCGAGGATAGTGTCCAGCTCCTTAGAGAACCGGCAGGTCTTAGGTGCCTCCCTCACCTTATGGTACTTCTGCCTTAGCTCCTTTATCTTCGCTCTGCACTGCAACGTGTCCCGATCATAGTCCTTTTTGCACAAGCCTCAAGAAATCTGCCCGTAGGTATCAAAATTCCTATGGCTCAGGCACAGCTGGGACCGCACAGCCTCCTCTCCCCATATACTGAGCAGAGCCAAGTGGGAGAGCGTTTGCTGCAGTAAGCCGCATGGTCACTTGGGAAGATGCAATGAGGCCTTTCCACACTGAGCCAACAGGAAATGGAATTTCAAAAATTCCCGGGGCTTCTAAGGGGGAGGGGTGGATGGTTGTTTACCTGGCTGCAGGGCAGTGGAGTTCAAACTGCTGACCAGAGCGGTCAGGATGGGCATTGTGGGACACCTCCTGGAGGCCAATTAGAGCGATAAAATCAAGTGTGGTGTCTACACTGGCACTTTGTCAACAAAAATTTAGTGCAAAAAGCCTTATGTATCTCATCGAGGTGGTTTTATTTTGTCGCCAAAACAGGGCATTTTTGCCAGAAAAAGTTTCATCGCAGTTTGTATGCATTCACTGTTTTGTCAACAAAATCTGTCTTTTGTCGACAATACTCTGTAGAATCATAGAATATCAGGGTTGGAAGGGACCTCAGGAGGTCATCTAGTCCAACCCCCTGCTCAAAGCAGGACCAGTCCCCAACTAAATCATCCCAGCCAGGGCTTTGTCAAGCCTGACCTTAAAAGCCTCTAAGGAAGGAGATTCCACCACCTCCCTAGGTAACCCATTCCAGTGCTTCACCACCCTCCCAGTGAAAAAGTTTTTCCTAATATCCAACGTAAGTGTACACAAGGCCTAATACTCTTGTGACTAGGTATGTAAAGATTCTCCCACATCGGGAGATTGGTGTGGTGTTCATTTTATTCACATGTGCATAGGTAATCTGTTGTACAGTGTGTTATGCATTTCCCTCTGAGCCTGACCCACAGAGGAGATAAGGCTGCTACATCTCAACCAGGGGTATGAGTACCGCTGGGGTACGCAGGGGTCTTCCATAGTTGCATCAACTCATCTAGATATTTGCCTAGTTTTGCAACAGGCTACATAAAAAGTACTAGCGAAGTCAGTACAAACTAACATTTCATACAATGACTTGTTTATACTTTTCTATATACTGTACACTGAAATGTAAGTACAATATTTGTATTCCAATTGATTTATAATTATATGGGAAAAATGAAGAAGTGAGCAATTTTTCAGTAACACTGTGACTGTGACACTTGTATTTTTATGTCTGATTTTGTAAGCAAGTAGTTTTTAAGTGAGGGGAAACTTGGGCTATGCAAGACAAAGCAGACTCCGGAAAGGGGTACAGTAGTCTGGGAAGGTTGAGAGCCCCTGAGCTATAGGGCTTAGTCCTTCAGCTCAAGCTGTAGTGGTCCTGCTCTTTGTTCTGGAGGTCATAGTTTCAATCCCCAATGATGACGAGGTTGACAGTTGTTGCACAGATAAATGTAGCCGTCACTGTTTGTTTTACTCTTTCTAAAACTAATTATATAATTGTTTTTTAAAGCTACAATGATCTCTGAGAAACTAGCATATTAAATCCTAGTGAGATTTACAGCAGGCCCTGTAAGTAATGACTTTTCTAAATGAAGTTATTTATATATACCAAGGCACTAGATTAAAGCATAGATTACAAGAATCTGTATGCAGCCCTGTTATGTTAGACCCTGATTAAGCGAGGTACTTAAATATGTGCCAAACTTTAATCATTTGACTAGTCTCAGTGAAGGCAATGGGATTGCTTATGTGCTGGAAGTTAGGCACATGCTGACGTATCTTGCTGAACGGGGGTCTCGGGGTGGTACAGTTTTGAAAAGTGACTCTAAAAAGTGGCTTATAGGGCTCCGTGCTTGTCTCAGTGTCTCCAGATCAAATGTACTCTGTTCACAATGAAAGAGATGCTTTCTCTATCTGCCAGCCTTGCAAGATCAGCCTGGGGATGGGAGTGTCAGGTGAGGTCTTTTCCTTCTCGTGACTCATAGCTAGCACTAGACATTCTGCCGGTCAAAATCTGCCCTCAGTGACACTGATGCAACCCTATTGCCGTCAGTGGGTTTGCACAGGTGTAACTGATTGAAACTTAGCATGCAATTTTGTTGATGATCCACAAGCAAGAGTACAATCCTGCTCACTCTCTCACATATACTGACTCTGTAGGGCTGTATGGAGTAAAAAATCAGTAACTTTTTTTTTTTTCAAGGAGCCAGCAGATGAGCCTCAGTGTACTTGGAATCTTCTGCTGAGGTAAGAAGGTGCCATTTCTACAGAATCACTCTTTTCAGAATAGAACCGCCTTTAAAAGATATAATTCCAAAAAGGAAGTGCGTGTATATGGGTGGGGTGGGGTGGGATGGGGTGGGGTGGGGGGAAGGAGAGAGCAGAGTATATGGAGCAGAACCTAATACAAAATGGAATAAACATCTGAATGATAATGTCCAAGTCTTTCACGTGATTCTCCAAAATCCTGTCCTCTACTGGTTGGCATGTCATTACTGGCCTTGATTAAGTGTGATCGTGTTTGCTTCTGGTGGTTGCATCCTACATGGGAGATTAGACCTGGAAAGGGAGAGGAAGAGAGACAGAAAATGAGAGGCGAGATGGAGGGGCCTGACTTTTTCTACTACTTATATAGTCACTTACACTTGTGCAAAATGGATGTACAGTTCTACCAGAGCAAAATGGTCGTTACACCCACATTGCACTGGTGTAAATGACTACTCAAGAAGTGAGGCAGTGTGGAATTCTATCCAGGGGAATACAGGGCAAGAACGGATTTGTGATGCCTTTGTTCTATGGAACCAAAAGTATAGACTTGCCTTTCCTCTAAGTTGTTGTTGTTTGTTATTGTTTGGAAACCCTCTCACGTCTCTGGATATTCAGTCTTATCAAGCTGATGTTTAAGATCATAAGCATGCAAAGATGCATCTGCATCTGCTGGCTACTAACAAAAAAAGGTCTGAGAGAAGAGATGAACTTTCCTTCCCTTCTTTGTCTCTGCCATGTTTCCTTCCAGATGGTCTCATTTGGGAAGCTCCTGGGGCTGAAAGCTTATGTTGCGGAAGAACCGTATGCATTTGAAAGAAACTCCAGATAACAGGCGTATAACTACTCAAGCTCCATCTTCATATGCAGCAATACTGTGTGCTACTGTCACACAAGCTTTTGTACTTAGGGCATTCTGTACCTAATTTCCATATTAAAACCTTATCTGTGTTTTTCCTGAGGGGGCGGGTCAACGAGTGAAATCCAGGTTCAGATATGCTTTCTGCAAATTAGTACAGATGAGTAGTTTAAAAACTTTTTTTTTTTTTTTTTACTATAGAGGTAGTATGGTGTTAGTGGTGGTGGGGTGTGTGTGTGGTTAAACAAGATTAGGGCTTGATCCAACTCCTATCCAAGTCAAGGGAAAGAATCCTAATAGGAACTGGATCATAGCTTTCATATAGAAACTTGGTGCTAGCTAGTGGGGAGCTAGCTACATTGGGGAGCAGGAGAGGAAGGATGGTCCCCTGATTAGGGCACTAGTCTTTGGACTTGGGAGACCTGCATTCTGTTCCCTGCTACACATCAGTCTCCCTATTGGACTATGGCCAAGTCTCTCTGTACCTCAGTTGCCTATCTGTAAAACGGGGATAATCGCACTGAAGATGTTGTGAGGATAAATACATTTAAGAAAAAAAAGTGTGGTGTTCATATACTGTGCTCGTCACTATAGTGCTCATATACTAGGGTTATTGGGGGGCCATAGAATATCCTAAAATAGGAGAGGGAACAAAATTTGGCTACCTGGTACTTGACAGTAACGCCCACAAAATCTGTAAAGAGGCCACTCTGCAGATCATCCAACTGCAGATGCATTCTGGGTTTTGGCAGAGGGTCTGTAATGCTTGTGAGTATGTTCCTGTTGATTCTGCAGTGATACCTACAAATCCACAAAATGCAGGATTGTATCAGGAATTGGTTGGGAGGGGAATGATATTGGTTGTGAGAATATGGATGCAAGATGATGCTGTTCTTGTACCTTACATTGTGGAAGGCATTTTCAAAGGGGGTCAGACTCTGGCCCTTAATTTTAAGTATTGTGGATCAAAGAGGCTAAATTCTGCTACACAGCTGATCTGGAGCATTCAAAGATCTAGGTCTGTGTAGATTGTAAGAAATAGAAGTGTCAGATAACACAGCAATGGGCTACTTTGCAGATTTCTCAGGAGCCAAGTTGCTAAACTGACTCCTGGAAGTGAACACACGGAGTTGAACATCCCCACTCTTGGCCAGTACAGAAGAAAGTTCTGTTTGAAGCAGTGAGGGCATTGAAAGCAGTGAGCCTTTCTTGTTAAACTCTAAACTAGAAGCACTAGAGAGATTTGAGGCTGTCACAGGCACTAAGCTTTCAGAGGTTGCCTTTTAATTCAGTTCAAGAGCTAGGCACCATTGAAGATACTGAAACATAATATATTGAGATATATCTATCCCATAGAGCTAGAAGGGACGTCGAAAGGTCATCAAGTCCAGCCCCCTGCCTTCATTAGCAGGATAAAATACTGATTTTTGCCCCAGATCCCTAAGTGGCCCCCCTCAAGGATGGAACTCACAACGCTGGATTTAGCAGGCCAATGCTCAAACCACTGAACTATCCCTCCCCCCTTAAACATAGCATTACATAGATCCTGAAACACTGAGCGGCAACATGGTCCAGTGGATAGGGTGTCAGACTGGGATTCAGGAAACCTGCCTTCTGTTCCTGGCTCTGCCACCAACCTGGTGCGTGACCTTGGGAAATGTAACCTGTCCCTGTCCTTAGTTTTGCCTTTTTAAATTGCAAGCTCTTTGGGGCAGGCGTTTTGTTCAGTAGGCGCTTTGTTCTTACTAGGCGTTTTGTTCAGTATCTAGCCCAGTAGGGCCCCAATCTCAGTTGGGGTTTCTAGGTGCTACTATAATACAAAGAATAATCGTTTTTGGTGTATATGTCTCATATCTTTCTGTGACAATGACCAACTATTGGATTATGTCCACCTGATCTCTGAATAAATAAAATATCACTGTATATTTCTCATTCAGCCTATTTCTTCAAATGTAAATTACTTATGGAAAAATAATCCTGCCTTCGTGTGAGTTCTTTAATCCAGTGTTTATGTAGAAAACGCAATGTACCAACCTTTTTTGCCAGATAGTGTGTCTTAACTAGACTGCTGTGATATCAGATCTGAAGCTTGGGTAGTAACACTTGCACCATGGCTGTTTTAGAGTTTTCTAATTTCTGAGTCGTGTGTTCTATTTCTCTTAATAATTTTAATCCGGTAGGAGTTATCTGTGGGGTGGCATCAAGGGTGAATTGAGGTATTGATGAGGTGCCATGCTCAGTTTTCAACTCTGGACTCACCCTCTCTTCTTCTTTAACAGGAATTGTTCTAGGTTTTGATGAAGGTTTTTCCAAAACTTGGTTCTCATCATAAGGTGGTGGCTGCGGTGCGGTAGCCCCTGCCTGTGGGCCATTGGATGGTGGCCGACCTGGGTCATTCCACATGTCCCCAGTGCAGCATCCATTCCAATTATTCCATGTTCCATCTTTTAATTTGGCTAGGGCCACCTGTTTCCATTTCTGTCCCCATCCTTCAGGCACTATAAAAGCACTTGAAGTCTGTTGTTGGGTAACAGGGGACGGCACCTTTCTTTTGCAGGTTTTCCACAGCTGTTTCCAATTTTTTATTCTCCTGTTTTAGCTGTTTGAGCATATGATGTGTCTGGACTGCCTGCTGCCCTGCTAAAAGAGTTTGGGCTTTCCAGTGCTCGACAACCTGGATGCTTCTTCCAAAGTCTGGGTTACCTCTTCTACTTCCTTGTTTTTTTCCATGACTTGCCTGGCCAGTATTGTGGCATGTTGTTTAAGCCATTTTACTGCTATGGCCATTAATTGCAATATTCTACATTTTTTTACTTTTGTTATTGTTTTTCAAAACTTCAGTTTCTGCCATTACTTTACATATTCCAGTCCATGTTTCCCCACGTTCTTTTTTAAATTCATATGGGCTCCCCTTGCTGGCAATCCAGCAGGTCCAAATTTCATCAAACTCTGTGTGGATATGCAGGGAGGGGATAAGGGAGTTCCGTAGCTCATGGTTTTCTGTCATGTTAGATCGCGATTCCTACAGAGGATAGCTCGCTTACTTACCAGATCAGTGATCGTGGGTAACCAGTGTGGTTAGATGTTTGGCTGTGTGTGTGTGTGTGTGTGTTCTCCCTGTGTGCTATCCCAGCTCTGCGCAGACAGTTGGCACAGCAGACCTCGAGTGAACCACCCAATGACCACAAGATCCGTTAAGGTACGAAGGCACCAGGCCAGGTTTATTGTCAACGAAGCACAGTACTAGTATTCCGCAGACTTTATTGGACAACTAATACATGTATGCCCGTAACAATGGACCAGCTCAGTGAACAGTGGGACTTTTCATTCCTTCCTAGGCTAGACAAAGACACTTCCTCTGAGATACATTCTTATGCCCTGATACAAACAAGTTACATACTGCCTCTCTGACCAAGTTAGTTACTGCTCCCTCATGTGGCTAGTTATTACCCATCGCCTTGTTCATGTTGGTTCAATCAAAACATCTCTATTATGTACTGTCATCCAGACCTTATCTTTTAGGAGGGGTCAGTATGTTTCTCTTATCCTTGGGAAATGTTTTTATACCATCCTTGATATCGGGATGTTCTGGAACCACTTGATATCAGGATGTGTTTGTGTGAGTACTCTGTGCCTAGCACTTCTTAGGGATGTGTATTTCTGCAATATCAGCCCTGTTCTTGCCAGATTCTGTGAGCAGGTCCTGCCTCTTACTCACAGTTTGTCTTTGCTTTATATCAGTAAAACTTTGACCACTACTTCAGCCCAGGCCTCAGGCTTCATACCAGGCCTTTGATACAAGGGCTTATGTCTCAGGCTCTTGTCCTACTACAACCTGATTCTGTCCTCTTAAAATAGCTCTGTCCTCCTTAGTGTCAATCTCTGATTCCAAGCCTACCATCAAGAGTGCTCCTAATAATAAAACTAACCGACACTAAACAGTAGGTTCTGATGACATGGTCTGTGTTGTCTGTAGAAAGCATTGAGCTATAGCAATAAAGCTTAGTAGCTCAGTAGTTTCTTTTTAGAAAAGAGGAACTGATCATATGCTACGCACTTGGTGAAGGGGAAAGGAAGAATGGAAGTCTTCTTTAGAGAGCTACCTTTAGTCCTCCAACCAAAC